CTTAGAATGATCTACAGTAATGACCTGTAGGCAATAATTTTATTAATTAAAGGAATTATCCAAATTAGTAAAGGAGCGAAATATCATTCCCTAGGTTGTATTTAAAGAAATAGTTTTTTTTGACGATGAGTGAGTCAGTATGTGAAAGTTGTAATAATTTATAAATACTTAACATATATACAATAAAGACACATCATACTGACCTGACTGTAGGTTAAAAAAAAAAAAGTTTTGATAAATAGTTAACTAATTATTAATAAACTATTAATGGATTTTTAATAAATTATTAATAAATTAATACCAAATTTTTATCAAATTGTTAATAAATAATTTTGTGATAAACTTTTCTTAAATTATTAATAAATTTTTGTTAAATAGTTAATGAATTATTTAATAAATTGTTTATGAATTTTTTGACAATTTATTATTAAACTTTTAATTAATAAATTTTTGATTGCCAAATTTTTTGATTATTGAATTTTTGATTATTATTTATTGTTAAAATAGTAATATGCCAAATGACAACAATCGCAAAGAATTTGTTAATATTTTTATTATTAAATTTTAAACAAATTTGACAATAATTCCACTGTTGAATTATATAATTTTGAATAGTGATATTTATAAATTATTTGATATTATTTATATAATAATACATAATTAATTAAATTATAATAATATAAATTATATATTATATATTATATTATAATTTGTATTATTCATAATTTATAAATATAATTTCAATTTAAAAAAATTCATAAATAAGTTTATTGATTTTTTTTACTTTATTGTCAACAAATAGTTGATGAATTTTTAAGATAAATTTTTATTAAATAATTTTGCTAAATAATTGTTGAATTTTTAATAAATAGTTTTAATAAATTAATGTTGAATTTTTGTTAAATAGTTAATAATTATTTGACAAATTGTTAATATTGTACATTTTTTGACAAATTGTTAATAAATTATGAATATGCTGATTTTTGTAATACCAAATTATAAAGTTGCCAATTTATATCAAAAATATGTACAGTATACTGTCCTCTTGACTATTGGTTTCAATTAAGCATTTTATCGTTCGTTGACTTTAATATACGTATATTTTACATTCTAATATATATATTCTAAAGTCTTTTATTGATGTACAGCATAAGAATGGTTTTTTAGATAGCGGATAGATAAGTTTTTTCAAATAAATAATGATGCATTTGTACACTTAAAATAAAACAGTTGAAAAAAACCCAGGAAATGCTCTACGTCCCTGTTTTCCTAAATAGTACTGAATCCACGGCAGTTTTTTTTCTTTTAACCTTGAAAGACTTAAGGAAAAAATGATAACCCCGTGTGATTTGTTTGCGAACATGATGTTCTTCGATTATAGCACTTTAGTTATGAATGAGCGTGGCCCGAAATTATTCTCGCCTAGCATTTTTTTTTTTTAACTCACTTCTCGATTGGTGCAATAGAAATGTAAAAATTACAAGTACAAACAATGAAAGCAATGACATAAATGGTACCGATCTGCAGATTACGATATTTGACTTGATTTTTTTTTTTTTGCATGCTGAAAATTTCCTTCTTCCTACAAAATATATTTTTTTTTATTTGGTGTAGATGGAGACTACGACAACACCTTCGGGTTTAACTTTAACCAAATTCGTAAAGCGTCCTGGTCTTGGTAAAGTGGGTCGTCAAATTCGTGTCCGGGCGAATTTTTTTGAAGTTACTTCTTTTCCGAGAGCGAATGTCCATCACTATGACGTTACCATAACCCCCGATGTACCACCGAAGTTGAATCGAAGAATATATAGGAAATTCGAGGAAGATAATGCTAACACCTTGAATAACATTAGGCCCGTGTTTGATGGCCGCAAAAATATGTATTCTGCTAAGAAGCTTCCCTTCGGCGATTCAGCGACTTTTGATGTCATTTTACCTGAAGACGATGGTGTTACAACATCTAAACGTCCTCCACGTGCTTTCAAGTTTAAAGTACAGAAAGTAGCAGAAATAAACATGGAAGAACTTAGTCGCTATTTGCAAAGAAAAACCGAGCTCAGCAACAACATTCTGACGGCCATAAACTCACTAGATGTCCTTATCCGTCATGGCCCATCAATGGATCCAAATTTTGTTTCCATTGGACGCTCTCTTTACACATCAGAAAATTCACAGGCTCTTTTCGGAGGAGCCGAAGTGTGGCAAGGATATTATCAATCAGTTCGTCCCACCGGTGGTAAATATTTATAGGTAAATTCGGACTGCGATTTTCACAATGATTTGATGATATTTCCATGAATTTTAATGTCAGGTAAAATGATGATCAATGTCGATTTGAGCGCCACCGCATTCTACCAGGGCGGTCCTCTTATTAATATGGTTACGAAGCTTTTGGGTAGACGAAATCCAGGGGAAATTGGGATGATTAATGTTGGACAACGGTCAAGGCTTGAAAAGGATTTGAAAAATCTTAAGATTTGCGTTAATCATCGTGGAAATGATGCGCGCAGGCGTCGATACAAAATTCTTAAACTTACCGAGAAGAACGCAAATCAAACCGAATTTGAGGCAGACGGGCAAAAAATGACGGTCGCACAATATTTCACGAGGAAATATAACACTCGTCTTAATTTTCCGAATTTCCCTCTTGTTGCAGTTCGAAATGACATCTTTCTTCCGATTGAGATATGCGATGTCATTCCCGTTAGTTATCTTG